AAGATAGTCCATTCTCATGAATTGGAAAAATATTGTTAAAATGTCCACACTACCCAAAAGCACTCTACATAGCCAATGCAATCCTGATGAAAATTCCAACAGCATTTTTCAGAGACCTAGAACAAAATAATACTAAAATTTGTATTGAACTACAAAAGAGCCCAGAAAGCAAAAGTAATCTTGAGAAAGAACAACAAATCTGGAGGTTTCACAATCCCAAATTTCAAGATACACTACAAAGCTGTGGCAATCAAAATAGTATGGTACTGGTACAAAAACAGACACACAGAGTAGACAGCAGAAATAAAACCATGTTTATATGGTCAGTTAATCTATGACAACGGAGGCAAGAATATACAATGGGGAAAAGACAGTCTCTTCAATAAGTGGTGCTGGGAAAACCAGACCACTTTCTTACAGCATACACAAAAATAAATTCAAAATGCGTTAAGGACCTAAATGTGAAACATGAAATCATGAAACTCCTAGAAGAAAACACAGGCAATAACTTATTTGACACTGACCTCAGCAACATTTTTTCCAGATTCGTCTCTCCAGGCAAGGGAAATGAAAGCAAAAATAAACTATGGGACTACATGAAAATATAAAGCTTTTTCATAGTAAAAGAAACCATCAACAAAATGAAAGGCATTCTGATGAATGGAAGAAATAGTCATAAATGATATATTCAACAAGGGGTTAATATCCAAAATACGTAAAGAACTTATACAACTCAACACCAAAAACTCCAAACAATCTAATTTAAAAATGGGCAGAGGACCTGAACAGACATTTTTCCCCCCAAAAAAGACATGTAGATGTGCAACACATATGAAAAGATGCTCAACATTACTAATCATCAGGGAATCCTAAATCTAAATCACAATGAGTTATCAGGTTACACCCATCAAAGTGGCTAAAATTAAAAAGACGTGAAATAACAGGCATTAATGAAGATGTGGAGAAAAAGGAACACTCATGCACTTTTGGTGGGAATGCAAACTGGTGGAGCCACTATGGAAAACAGAATGTTGGTTTTCTCAAAAAATTAGAAATAGAAATACCATATGACCCAGTAATTCCAGTACCAGGCATTTACTAGTCAAGTCAAGATATGGAAGACCATACCAGTCAAGATATGGAAGCAACCCAAGTGCCCACTGATAAATGAATAAAGAAGATGTGATGATGTATATACACAATGAAGTGTAAGCCATAAAAAGGATGAGATCTTGCCATTTGCAACAACATGGATGGACCCAGAAGGTATTATGCTACATGAAATAAGCCAAAGACAAATGCCATATGATTTCACTTATACGTGGAATCTAAAAAACAAATGAACAAACAAACAAAAAGCAGAAACAGACCCATAAATACAGAGAACAAACTGATGGCCGCTACAGGGGAGGGGTGGGGAAGGCTGCATACAATGGGTGAATGGGAGTGGGAGATAAAAAGCTTCCAGTTATGGAATGAGTAAATCATGGAGATAAAAGGCACCAAATAACCTTAGGGTTTCTAGATTCCTCAACAGACCCCTGCCAAGGGCTCATGCCAGTTATGAGATCTATGATCTAGAAGCAGAGTCCTGGCTTTGCTCATCTTATGATTTATGTTTACTTTTGGAATGAGGAAATGCTACGATTAGGGATGAAGAGATGGGTGGGGTGCTGGTAGATCTAAAATGGCATGTGTTAAACTCTTGTCAGGGGAGGAAGGATGAAAATCCCTAGACAGGGCTTCATGCCCAGGATCTCCCAATAGAGACTACTGACACATTTTGGACACTGTTGGAATTCCTTCTGTGATGGTTAATTTTATGGGTCAACTTAGCTCAGTTGTTTTGTCTGTTTTTTATTTTATATATTGTTTTGTTCTGTTTTTTATTTTTTTTAATGTTTATTTCTTTACTTTGAGAGAGGGAGAGTACGTGTGAGCAGGGGAGGGACAGAGACAGAGGGGAGAGAGAGAATCCCAGGCGGGCTCTGAGCTGTCCACACAGAGCCCAATGTGGCGCTCGAATTCACGAAACTGTGAGACAGAGATCAAGAGTTGGATTGACGCTTAACCTAAGCCCCCAGGTGCCCCAGGTATGTTTTTAAAGCGTAACATTTAAATCAGTGGGGTTCGCATAAAGCAAATCACCATCCCTAATGTAAGTGGGCCCCATCCAGTCAGTTGAAGACCTGAAGACCAAAGAGAGGTTTCCTGATGATGAAAGAATTCTCCTCAAGACCACAACATCAACTCTGACCTGAACCTCCAGCCCTTGAGCCTGCTCTATTTCAGGTTTGCCAGCGCCTACAATCCCATCAGCTAATTCCTCAAAATAAATCTCCACTTACCTATTTATCTATCTTTGCAGAGTCCTGACTAATGTAATGCACTTTCTTCTCAGGAAAGACTGGTTTTATTTTGCTGTAAAAGAGTGGGAGCATGAAAGAGCAGTAGAAGTGGCCTTAGCCCATCTGGCCAGTGTAAGCAAATCTGGGCCTAAATGATGGGAACGCTCCACTTCCTACAATGAAGGCAGATCTTCTTGCTGAGTGACAGTCAGGATCTCCTAGAATACCCTCCCAGCATGAGGGCCCCACCTTGCTCATGGACCACCCACAGACCCCCGGGCCTCCCATGCTGGCTTTGCCTTTCTCCCTGCTTTGTCTGACCCAGGACTCCTGCCACTATAAAAATTAGGACCTTAGAGCAGAAGAAGTAAGGTTTCTTCTGGCTCTGCAGTTGTAGGAGTTTAACTTTGTTGAATGTTGGAATTAAAAGGGCAAAACCTCCACCCCAAACCTCTGCAGCCACCCCACAGACTGGCTGCAGAAGGGGAGCCTGGCCAGAGGTAATTAACCGCAGATCACTAACGGCTCCACGGGAAGGCCTGTGTCCAGGAATTCCTTTTGCCAGAGGTCCTGGGAGCATTTGCTAGAGAGAAGCAAGTTTGCAAATAAGCACTTTCCTTTGTAAAGGCCCCCTTCCCCAGCTCCATTAGCTCCCAGCTCCTTTTTCAACTGCAAGGGCTGTCTTTTCATCTTGAACTTGACATATTCTTCTAGTTTAGCCCAGTCACATGGAGCCCTCTGGCAAGCCACTCTCTCTCCCACTGTGAATTGTTGTGAACCTCCTCGCAGAGAATAAAAATTCGGAGTCCGCCAACTTTTCCCCCACAACCCCTGACTTCGCCTCTCTTTGTGCTTAACAATGGGCTGAGAGATCTTTGGTTTTCTTTGTCATCTGGAAAGATGTTGGAGTCAAACAAAGAACAAAAATTCCAGACGTGCTGAGAAAATGAAACTCTGTGTGTGTGTGTGTGTGTGTGTGTGTGTGTGTGTGTGTGTGTGTGTTGTTGGCATGGTCTCACCCACCACCGCCAAATGCCACTGATTAGCATTGTAACCCTCAGGAATGTATGTCATTTGGGGTTGAGTTAGTGGTTGGAGCAATGTTCCTTCCAACTTCCTGCTGGAAAATTTAACCTCTTTTTAGTCTTGAGCCAGGCAAGGAGGCTGAACACCATTTTATTTGTTCTTATCTGCGATGCATCTGTTTGATCCAGTTCCCGCTGCCCATTTCCACTGTCCTGGCACCATTCTCCTCTTCCTGGATCATCACAGTACATCCTAACTCTTCTCACCTCCTCTGCTTTACTCCCTCCAAAACATCTTCCTACCGCAGCTGGAGTGGTCCTTCTGAAATGCGCATCTGACCACCTCGTTGCTCTTATCCTGGAGAATCAAGTCTAAGTTCCTGGCTGGGCAGCCAAGATGCTTCCGGGGTTCTGGTTGTATCCCTCGGCCCCCTCAATAATCCTCTGGTTAAATCAGCCTGTCTGCACTGTTCCTTTTTTTTTTTTTTTTTTTTTTTTGCAGCTGGGTTTCCTTCTTGAAATTAGTGGGGTTTTTTTTGTTGTTTTGTTTTGTTTTGTTATATAGTAAACTCTGCCCCTTCCCTAAATTCCTCTGGGTCCTCATCTACTCTCTCCACCCTGAAAAGTCTCTGTACTTTTTACTGATTTTCTTTGTTTGCAGTGCATCACCTGTATTCACTCACCTTTCTGGCCAGCCTGAGAGTCCTCTGGGTGGAAACTTTCTTTCTCTAATAGATAGTACAGCACCACAGTGCAAAGCACTGAGTATCTTCAGCTAACACCTCTGGAATAATGGGAGACTTAATACAATATAACATAGGAATTAAGCACTCTGGCTCTGTAACTGGATTCATGTGGATTTGAATCCCAGCATTCATTGCCTGAGCCTCCATTTATTCACCTGTGCAATGGGCACAACTATATCAACATCAGAGCACTTTTGGTCAAAATTCACTGAAATAATACCTACAAAGTGCTCAGCACATCCGTAAGAGATCATAATACCTCAATATTTACCATCGTTACGTGGAACTGTTTGCTCCACTTGTGAGCTGCAACCCTCCATCTATTTCCACCCTCTTTGTTAAAGACCCTCTCCATCTCGAATCCCCACTGAAGCCATCAACTCCAGGGAGAACAAAGAGTTAAGCCTGACTCTGTTCACCGCAAATCCACAGGCACTAAATAAGGCTCTAGCGTTCAGGCTTTAAGTATGGGCTGCAGTTAACTATAAACAGCTGTTGCAAGATAATAGCCTTCTACTGGTAAAATAAGGCCAGCCCCCCTCCTTCACAATGAAACCTTTCTTGCAAAGAGCATTGAGAACTGATAGATAGATCTCAGTCTGGCAGTAATCAGAATTAAAAGATGAGGAAAGGGGGAAGATTGTCAGGCTTCCCAGATCAAGCTGTCATGTATACAGCTATTCTGTTTCTGTTTCCAGAAATGTTTCTTATCTGCAGTACATTCCCCCTGTTGTTCTACTGGGGAAAAACAACTCTGCTCCCTTCCTGTGATGGCATTAACTCTAATAACTGGAAAAAAAGCAGACATTAGCCAAGAAGACATATGTATTGCTCTTTATACCACAGCCCTTTATTCAACTAATCCTCCCTTCTCATTTTAGGAAATTAAGTATGAATCAAAGCTCAGCAACGTGCATCCATATGGAATTTTGGAGCCTTTATGTCCACTGCAGAATTTAACAAAGGTGAGATTCATGTGAGTTGCTTCTACTGCGTTGGAGACAGATGAAAGTCTTGGTTTGGGAAATTGATATGGAAGACACTGTTTGTTTCAGAAAACATCCAGACTTTATTAAGTACGTATCTGGTGTCAGGCACATAGTAGGTGCTTGATGTTTGTGTGTTCTTTTGAGTCTGTTGAACACTTTCTACGTGTGAAGAGTGATAAAGGAACTTCAGGAATAAGTGAATTTACTTTCAGAGAATGGTTGATGGAATCACAAAATTTTTGAAATGGAAATTGAGTGGGTTTACTAGTGTAATTTCGATCTATCTGTATATCTATCTACATATCTTATCTATCTATCGAGTTTGATGAGACCTAGAAAATTAGGTGGTTTATACAGGGTCAACTAGCAAATTAGCAGAAACAGGAGATGTGCCGATCTGACTGCCAAGCGAGTGAGTTCAATCAGCTTATATGGCAAATCACGAGACTAAAGCAAAAGTATCTTTGATAAACAAAATCCAGGAGGAACACTAGAAGCAGGCAGCACTCAGAAGTTTAATTCTGTTTATGACCTATGGTCTCAAGAGTGGTAGATGTTAACTGTTGATGTTTGTCTCCAGAGAGATAAGGCATCCTAAAGAATACCAGGGAACCGTGAGTGCTGTTTCATTAAAGAATGACCTGGACTGGGGCGCCTGGGTGGCACAGTCGGTTAAGCGTCCGACTTCAGCCAGGTCACGATCTCGCGGTCCGTGAGTGATGGCTCAGAGCCTGGAGCCTGTTTCCGATTCTGTGTCTCCCTCTCTCTCTGCCCCTCGCCTGTTCATGCTCTGTCTCTCTCTGTCCCAAAAATAAATAAATGTTGAAAAAAAAATTAAAAAAAAAAAATGACCTGGACTATGGACTTGACCATTGCTTTGAAGGCATCCTTTGCATCTAGGATGAGGCAGTAATAACTAACACCCATGGTTACTGTTACTGTTTATTATGAACAGGTAAAGAATGGCCCGTGAGCTGGGTGCTCTGGTTAGTACTGTTTTATAAATTAGAAAACTAAGGTTTAGAAACATTATGGAATTTGCTCATTGTCACCCAGCTAGGAAGTTCCCGAGCCCAGGTTTGAAGTCTTTATCAACCTAGAGGTTGATTTTTAAAAAAATTTTTTTTTAACATTTATTTATTTTTGAGACAGAGAGAGACATAGCATGAACGGGGGGAGGGCCAGAGAGAGAGGGAGACACAGAATCTGAAGCAGGCTCCAGGCTCTGAGCTGTCAGCACAGAGCCCGATCCGGGGCTCGAACTCACGGACCGTGAGATCCTGACCTGAGCCAAGTCAGCCGCTCAACCGACTGAGCCACCCAGGCGCCCCTAGAGGTTGATTTTTTAAACTACTATAATGTCTCACTAAAATGTAATATGAAAAATCATATCCCTCTTGTGTGTAATATAACCACATTTTTGTTGTTCAGAATTGTACCATCCTGAGAAATAACTTCATATTCCTATTTCACACCAGTGAGATCTGTTGGTTTGTAAGCCTCCCAGAACTTCCCAGGTGTAATCTGAAACCAGCCCCGACTATTGGAGTGCAGGGAGAGGCCAAAGAAAGAGGACGCTTTAAGTTGGTAGATGGTGGACTTAATAGGCAATGAGAACTTACATGCAAGCTTGTCTTAGGCAGCAGCAAGATGAATGGATCCCTGCACCTTACCTGCCAAATCTTAAAAGTTTATAAAGAGGCCTTCAATGTCCTCAGTCACGTATACCATGCAAGTGTTTTCAATACCATGTCACAATCTCAAGGCTATGTCCTTGGAGCAGCCTCTGGGAACAGAAAAGGCACATTCCAAGGACAAGGAAAGGGGTGAGGGACCTCTGAGTGCCCAGGTCTAGCTCACGGGTCAAGTGACAGTCACATCTTTTTGGTGACATTCCCTGAGAAGATCTGAGACTCTGATAAGGCACATGGCTTGCCCAAGGTCACCCAGTTTGTAAGATATGAAAATTTCTAAAACCAAGTCCATTGCTACTTTCATGACAACATTACTGTCTCCTGGATTTTTTTTTTTTTTTGAGTAAGAGTCAGAGAGTGAGAGAGTAAGAGTGGGGGGGGGGCAGGGAGGGGAAGAGGGAGAGGGAGAATCTTCAGCAGGCCCCATGCACAGCATGGAACCCAATACCAGGCTTGATCTCATGACCTGAGCCAAAATCATAATCTGAGCCAAAATCAGGAGTTGGACACTTAACCAACTGAGCCACTCAGGCACTCCTCCCTGGATATTTTAAATCCATAAAGTGTTACCTATGCTGGGTTTCTAGCTAATCACACAAAAAAATTATAAGCCATTACTGGTATCAAAATGATCAAACCAATCAAAGAAAAATAAGGGACAAGTTAAGGCTGGGATTAGGCAAATGTATCCCAACCTCTATGCCACTTCCAATCAATTACTCTTAGCTCCTGGAAAGCTGTACTAAAAAAGACCATAAGTATATATGCTCCCAAAGCAAGCACAGATCATGAGATTTCTTCTGATCCCAATGGAAAAACATCTTTTGATGCTAAGTTTATTCCATGTTGGAAAGCATCGGTGGGGTGGGGGGGGGTGTATTATTTCCTTCCCCAGATGAACTTTCCCCTTTTTGTTCCGCTCTGTGCTTGGCTTCATGGGGTCCCTCACCTCCCAGCTTCCAGATGGATTGGGCCAATGGAGAATCCATCAGGAGATTGAAAGGAGGGAGAAAAAAAAAAAAAGACTGAGAGGGTATCATTTATTCCCCTGGTTCCCTCACTGTGGGTACCATGGATGACTTCATCCCCCTCAAAAGAAAGGGCACAGCTCCTGTTAGAAGTCCTTCTGCTCTCAGGTCTCCCTCTCCAGATCCCAGTCACTGTTTCCCTCCCCTTGCTTCTTGACTCAGCTTGGGCTACTATACACATGTCCTGTGGGTTTGCTACATGGCACTATGTCTTTAGTAAATATTCTTTTTATTAAACTCTCAAGCCACACAACTGGAATGCACTATAACCCTCACTGATGGAGTGGACATGTTACAAGGGGATGGATTAGATACTCAGTCATGGATGAATGAGGAGTTAGCACTTGCCTCTCTTGTGAAGGGAATCCTTCTTGTGAAGGATCCTCTTGTGTGCATCCTCTTGTGAAGGATGCATTTTCTTTTCTTTTTTTCTTTTCGTAGCACATCATTGTAGACACTTCTCTTGTCAGTCCAACCTCCTATGGCTGAAGGCGATGTTGCCTAGTGAAGAGGGCCGAGATTTCACACCAAATGGGACAGGCCTGGATTCGCATCCAGCCCTAACCATGCCTGGCTACCCTAGCCTAAGCTTGGGTAGGATGGTCCGACTCTTGAGGTCTCAGTTTTGTACCCCCATGAAAGTGGGATAATAACACCCACATTGCTAACTTACAAATCATGGAGGGGATGGTGTTTGTAAAATTACCCTTTTACTTATGGCATTTGGCTAAATTGATATGGATCCACAGAGTGGAAATTTTTGGATAAGACTTTTTTTTCCATCTGCCCAAATTCAATAAGGTAACAGGGTTCTTTCCCTCTTTCCATCCTTCCTTGTTGCTTCTTCTCAAACTTTAAGTGTTTGATTCAGTGGTTCTCACCTCCAGGAGTCCTCAAGACTCATAGAGTGGAAAGGTTTAACCATCAGCCTTTTATGCCCCAAAACATCAGCAATCCAGACTCCTGGGGACAGATTCTCAAATTAGATGTTGAGCTTCCTGAAGACAGGGATCAATATTATTTATTTCTCTATCCCCAATTCCTGTTGCACAGTTTATACACAGTAAATGTTGATTGAGTTTATGTGTAATACTGGGTAATCTTGATTTCCACAGATTTAAGGCTTACCTAGTTTAAATACAGAAATGTTTACTTATTTTAATCATTTTGAATAACATTTTTTAAATTGTCACCACTTAAAATATTTGTACCTAAAAAAAATATTTTGGAAACATTTTTCTGAGCACAGATTATAGCACTGTGCTTCAATGAACCAGTGCTCTCAGGGGAAATGGAGGTGCCCAGAGACATTGTGACCCCAAACTAAGCATTCCCTGACAGTTTCCTATTTTAAATACTTCATGCCTAATCCTTCTAATACCTTCTTGCCTCTCTTCCAGTTTCTGTTTTGAATATTCTGTAAGCCTAGGTATCAAGTAATTACTGATATTTGAACTCTGTGTGTAAAATCAGAGTGAAAAATCTCTGAATATGTGTGTGCAAACAGAATGGGAATGGAATGAACACAACCTTCTCCGACTGTTCACAACTTTTCATTCTTCTTTGTTTCTGAGTATTTAAAAAAATGATGTGAGATATGAGAAAATATTGGTACCTAAGAAGGACCTGGAAGGACAAAAGGGAACATCTGCTTTCTTTGTCAAAGAAGGCCATGGACCACTTTACAGTGCTGTGATACAACATCTGGGCCTGGCATGCCTGTGGGGAGTTGTAAAGTCTGTATATATGAAATCTCAGTCCCTCTAATATAGATTCTCACAGGAATCACAAATGAGGATGCAGTCTCAGGGTCAGATGACCTTTATTTGGGGTTCTGTCCCCAAGTCATTAAGGGTGATGGAAATAGAAACACTCTGGGGAGTCAGGAGAAAGCTGGATCCTGGGGCTGAGTACCTTGTCCTCACTGTGGGCCACCAGGAAGTCAAGCCCTCTCTGACCTTGCACTTATCTGTAAGATGGGGATAACCAGGTACCAGGTAAGACTTCCGAGGTGGGCATGAACATACGAAGAGGAAGAACAAGTACAAGCATTTTGTAAAGACAGGGGTAACATGTCTCTTCAAATGTTCCTCCTGATGATGGTGATGATGAAGGCTCTTAACCAGTGGTGGCAGCAAATCTCACGTGCTCTCCTGAGCTTCTAGGGGAGAGATCCCTGGAGCAACCAGAAGGAATTTGAAACGCAAGCTTCTCTGGCCTTAGGGTGAATTTGAACTCTTGCCACCTGGGAGTCTGCATGCAGATCGAAAGTGAACCCTAGTCCACTAGTCCATATATACGGACTTTACAACTCCCCACAGGCATGCCAGGCCCAGATGTTGTATCACAGCACTGTAAAGTGACCCCTTACAGCTACCACTCAGTGTTCCGGACCAGGAGAGGATCTGTCTGTCCTCGGACCCTGCTATGTTTCTTTTCATCAGCGTGGCAGCCAGGAGACTCCTAGCCAGCTTTAATTCTCTACTGCAGGAATTTTTTCATGCTACGCTCTGGTAGAGTTTATTCTATTCCTCTCTGTAGATTCTAATCTTTCTGTTCTACTTTAAAGGCCAGTAGGGACATTTTCTAAATGTCAGTTAATTCAACTTATTTTTGAGCATGTGATAGGAGTGCTGTAAACAATGAAATGACTAGGGAATGAATAGATAATGAAGAGTGAATGAATAATTGAACTGTACAGCACAAAAGGATAAACCTTAATGCATGCACATGAAAAAATCATTTAGGAAATCAGGGGAACCCCAGAAAGAAATGTAGACTGTGACAAGAGACTCCAACTGTGTTACAAATGTGTAAGACAATCTCGCTGAAGCAGGCAGCGGGAGAAGGTGCTGATAGCGGTAACTTTGGAAGTAAGTGGAGTCTGTAAGATTAACGGCAAAAAGAACCACACATAAGCACTGTACTCAGGCTGATAATGCTGTTTCCCCAAGGGCTACAGGTTAATAATTCTGATGCAGTTAGACATGCATACTGGAACTAAACAATTCAGTAAATGGATGTCAGGTGATGGGAGCTGGGTTTGTCACTGTTTAAGCAGGAATTTACAGATAAGCAAGGTAAGGAGGCTAGAGTGATTAATGTAATGGATTAAAGCTGGAGATAGGAGTATGAACTCATGTTTAGCAGGATATAGATACAGATGGTTACGGCAGAAATATTCATGTGTGTATATACATGAGTGTGTGTGTATATAGATAGATAGATAGATAGATAGATAGATGCATATATACAGGAGTTGGTATACAGATACATACATAATACTTATAATTTTTTTTCTCAGCTGAGAAGACCAAGAAGAAACAACACCCCTATAGCAATGTGCACAGCTAGAACCAAGATCTTGGTTAGTGAACTGGGCTTCTAGAAGAAATTGCTGACTTCAGTGCCACAGCAGGAAGTAAGCAAGATGAGCCTGGATCAGAAAGACTCATCAGACTCTTGGTTTCAGCTCAAGTCACGATCCCACGGGTTGTGAGATCAAGCCCCACGTCAGGCACTGCAGTTATAGCATGCAGCCTACTTGGGATTCTCTCTCTCCCTCTCTCCCTCTGCCCTTTCCCAGCTCTCATCCCACTCTCTCTCTCAAAGTAAATATAAACTTTAAAAAAAAAAGGAAGAAAGTACTCAAAAAATTAAAGGGCTTACATTGATTGGGGTGGGGGGAGTCAAAGAGGCACAGAAATCAGCTGAAAGAACTTTTTCAATGGCCAAAGCTGGTATAATTTAAACAACAAAATTAAGTAGTACTGTATTAAAACCAAAATAGAGAATAAATATTTATGAGTCTATACTTGTCTAAATAAGTGATTAAATAAATGTAATTGAGAAAAGAGACATATATCCTGTGTGGAGTTCCAAATAATTATGTAGACACTTTGCCCTTAAGAAGGGGGAGGCATAACTCCAGACTCCTCAAGTTTGGTCTCTGCACAGTGACTTTGTTCCAAAAAAATATGAAAAAGGGAGAAACATGAGTAATTTAACAGTAGAGAAACTTGACCAACACTACCTCAGCCAGGGGATGAAAGTCAAACATCCATAGACGTAAGTCATGTGGATACTAAGAATCCTTAATATGATAGGAGAGAAGTGAAATTTGACCACTGTGGTCTTACTCTCAAAACTCCACAACATTAACTCTGAAAACTATACAACAATGATGAAAGAAATTAAAGATGACACAAAGAAATGGAAAGATATTCCATGCTCATGGATTATAAGGACAAATATTGTGAAAATGTCTATACTCCCCAAAGCAATCTACACATGTAATGCAATCTCTATCAAAGTACCACCAGCATTCTTCCCAGAGCTACAACAAAAAATCCTAAAATTTATATACAACCACAAAAGACCCCACGTAAGCAGAGAAACCTTGAAAAAGAAAAGCAAAGCTGGAAGCATCACAATTCCAGGTTTCAAGTTATATTACAAAGCTGTAGTAATCAAGAGTATGGTGCTGGCACAAAAATAGACACAAAGATCAATAGAACAGAACAGAAAACCCAGAAATGAATCCATAATTATATGGTCAATTAATCTTTGACAAAGCAGGAAAGAATGTCCAATGGAAAAAAGACGGTCTCTTCAACAAATAGTGTGGGAAAACTGAATAGCGACATGTAAAAGAATGAAACTGGACCACTTTCTCATATCATATACAAAAATAAATTCAAAATGGATTAAAAACCTAAATATGAGACCTGAAACCATGAAAATCCTAGAAGAGAGCACAGGCAGTAACTTCTCTGACATCAGCAGTAGCAACTTTTTCCTAGATAGGTCTCCTGAGACAAGGGAGACAAAAGCAGAAATGAACTATTGGGACTACATCAAAACAATAATGGAGCCAACAATCAACAAAAATAAAAGGCAACCTACAGAAGGGGGGAGGATATTTGCAAATGACATAACTCTGATAAAGGATTAATATCCAAAATATATAAAGAACTTATAAAATTAAAAAAAATCCAATTAAAAAAAGTTAGAAGGCAGAACAGACATTTCTTCAAAGAAGATATACAGATGGGCAACAGACACATGAAAAGATGCTCAACATCACTCATCATCAGGGAAATGCAAATTGGAACTACAATGAGATATCACACTTACCAGAATGTCTAAAAACAACAACACAAGAAGCAACACGTGTTGGTGAGGATATGGAGAAAAAGGAACCCTCTTGCACTGTTGGTGGGAAAGCACATTGATGCAGCCACTGTGGAAAACAGTATGGAGCTTCCTCCAAAAGTTAAAAATAGAACTACCCTATGACCCAATAATTGCACTACTAGGTATTTACCCAAAGAATACAAGGGGCTCAGTCAGTTAAGCATCTGACTCTTGGTTTCACCTCAGGTCATGATCTCCTGGTTCATGAGGTTGAGCCCCATGTCAGGCTGAGTGCTGACAGCCTGGAACCTGCTTGGGATTCTCTCTCTCTCTCTCTCCTTTCTCTGCCCCTCTCCCACACGTGGGTGTGTGCGCACGCTCTCTCTCTCTCTCAAAATAAGTAAATTAAAAAAGAAACCAAAAACACAATTCAAAGGGTACATGTTTATAGCAGCATTGTTTACAACAGTCAAGATATGGAAGCTGCACATGTGTCTATTGATAGATGAATGGGTAACAATGATGTGGTACATATATACATATGCATTGGAATATTACTCAGCCATAAAAAATGAAATCTTGCCATTTGCAACAACACGGATGGAGCTAGAGAGTATATTGCTAAGTGAAGTCAGTCAGAGAAAGATAAATACTATATGATTTCACTCATATGTGGAATTTAAAAAACAAAAGGGAAAAAGAGACAAAGCAAGAAAGAGACTCTTAACTATAGAGAACTGATGGTAACGGAGGAGAGGGGGATGGGTTGAACAAGTGATGAGGATTAAGGAGTGCGCTTACCGTGATGAGCAGTGGGTGTTGTACGGAATTGTTGAATCACTATATTGTATACCTGAAACTAATATTACACTGGAAGTTAACTAAGTGGAATTAAAATAAAAACTTAAAAAAAAAACCCCACAACTCTAGACTAGTCATGAGTAAAACATCAAATTCCTATAGAGGGGCATCCTACGAAATACTTGAGTAGTACTCCTCAAAGCTGCCCAGGTCATCAAAAAACAAGGCAAGTCTGACAAACTGTCACAGCTGAGAGGAGCCCAAGGAGACGTGAGAAAAAAAATGTACTGTGGTGTCTTGCACAGGATCCTGGAGAAGAAGGACAATAGGTAAAAACTAAGGTAATCTGAATAGGCTATAAACTTTAGTTAATATTCATATACAAATATTGGTTCATGTATTGTAGTAATGTATGATGTCAATAATAGGGAAAACTGGATACAGAGTATATGGTAGCTTTCTGCACTGTATTTTCAGTGTTTTTGTAAATCCAAGACTGCTCTAAAAATAAAGCCTATTTTTAAAAATGAATAAGTAGTTATCCGTTCAGCTGTACAAATTACTGCGCAATACTATGCTTACTGTATTCCAGGCACTGTTACATTTGGGAAGCTCCAGGTTTTGTTTTTGTTTGTGTTTGTTTTTGGTTACTTTCAAATCCCATAGAGCTGGATGAATATTTAAAATAAGAATACATGTAAAGTGATTACAACCTAGTAGAGCCTCAATGATTGCTTGGAGGAGGGGCCACCACGATGGTGAATGGGTTTGCTGTAAAAACAAAACGAAACAAAACAAACAAAAAAAACCAACTCACAGATATGGCATAGTCTGACAGAATTATGCCCGAGGTGGCCCCTCTGCTGAGACTGGTCCAAGATGGGTTTTTGGAGAAGGTGAGTCCTTAAGGATGAGAGCCAGTGTGCCGGGTGAGGAAAGCAGAGACAGCCTTCCTGCCGCGGAACCAGCATAATCAAAGGCATAGGAACATCACGCTGTGAGTTTAATAAGCAGGGCCACAGCTACATGCGATTTGCTTTTGCTGAAGCACATTACGGAAGGCTGGAAGGTGGGAAGGAAAAAAAGGCTGGAGCGGTCAGCAGTGGCCACGTCACAAAAGGCATTGCGTGCTAAGCTGAGGAGCCTGAATTTCTTCCGCAGATGAGGGAGCCATTGAGAATGTTTAGCCCCCCAGAGAGGCAATCACATTTGCATTTTGGATAGACTCGCTCTGGCTGTGGGGTGGGTGGGACTGGAACACAACCAGACGGCGTGTGTGCTGCAAGGCCAGCAAGACTGAAGCCGTTTGAAAAGCAAGGCATTTTCTTGGGGGGCAGTTATAGCCCTCTGACTTCCTGAGCTAACCGCACTTTTGTGAAGTGCCTGTCTAAATATTCTCTTTTTATGTGTATTAGCTGTAAAGGTGGAAGCTAACTTTGGCACAGAAATGCATCTGTGAGGCAGAGAGAAACGTTTCCTTTACGACCGATGTTTGTTCCAGACTTCCTTGCCAGGAGAGAAGAATGTGAGCTGGAAATGAAAAATCAGTGAGACTTCCGGAGCTGCCTTTGTGAAACTCTCCTTCTCTTGTACATGAAGCCATAATATTGTGAGGATCCTGGAGTTTTAGTTCATCTTTCCTCGTGCTTCTTGCCTGGCCCTCCCTAAAACTAAACTTCAACAACTGACTCATGTTCTAGTTCCTCAGCATGGCTGAATGGACAGCAAGCCACAGTTGGAGTTTGGACATCCGGATTCTTACCCCAGCCTGGCTATCTATGCACCAGCTGTGGGGCTTTCTATAATCCTTTGCCATTTTGGAGCTCATTTAAAAATTTTCTTTAAACAGGAAATGCATCGCAACACCACCACTATCACCTGATCACTACCATCACCATCAGCAGCAATATCAACAGCATCATCAGCCTGACCCCTCCATCCCGGTCTTAGTAAGGATTAAATGTAATCATGTATAGACAAACAGCTTGCACTTGCCATTAAAGGCTAATAGCACTGGAATAACCTTCAAAATGCATGAAACTTTGATCAAATTTAGTGCCTGGCACACAGGAGGCACTCTGGGAATATTTGCTGAATGAAAATCAGGCTATTTATTATGGCCTTTCTCCATCTACTATTTAGATGCCCACTCTATGATATGGAAACGAGCATCACAACTCGTGTCATTCCGGGCTTTCTGGCACAAAGTAGCTTACTGAGAAGTGAGTAGACTTACACCATAAGCCTTGGAACGACTTTAGTTCTGTTGTTACTAGGGACTCTCACTATGCCCTACAACATCTTAATGATCTCTTAGAGTGGCCTTGGCTCATTAATCATTGAATCCACTGGAAAACAAGAAGATTCTTTAATGGAGCATTTATGTATGTACCCATCACACAGATCATTTTCTTACTCCCCAGCATTAGCTTCTATACTTTCCATTGTTGCCCAGGGCCAAGCTTCTCTCTCCATCACAGACTCCATGGTTTGCTCATATTACCCTCAACTACTCGATGTTAACACCTCTCTTCCTTCTGTATCAAATGATCTTAGCCCCAGACTTGAACTGGCTTTTCTCTTTCAGGGAAGCCAGTTGACTTTTCA